AAATTCAATCGGGAAGGTCGTCAAATGATTTTTGCAAGTTAACTGGTCCGGAATATGTATTTTCCGGACCAGTTAACTTGCAAAAATTATTTGACGACCTTCCCGATTGAATTTTTGGCTGAAATTTGGTATGGATGAACTAGACTTGATGAGGAACCTACACAAACAATTTGAGCAAAAAATACCACCGGGAAGACCCCCAAATGGAGGAGGCCGGACGGGGGGAGTGGTCCGGCCTGGCCGGACCTGAATATTAGTCTATATATATATATATAGGGAATGGTTCCTGTGAGAAAGGAGTCTCAGGAGAGAAATAAGAATGATATCCGGCTATTGATATCATTCCAAGCATTGATATCATTCCAAGGGATTAATTCATAAGTATTTTATTTACGGACATCATGATTTGTTTATAAGGGCATCTCCATTCATAGGATTATTAGAGGATTAAGTTGGTGATGTTGCGAATTATTTTTGAGATCATGATTGAGTGATAAAGATTATTTGGTGAGATTATATGACAAAATAATCCGGGATTGAAATATGAATCTGGATTATCTGAAGATTATTGTGAACCGAGTATTAATTAGGGAGTGCAGAACCCACAAAAGATCTGATAATTTTGAGATGATGAATGATGTAATTTACAAAGTGTGAGATTATTTTGAAAAAATCTACGTGTCATTAAAAAATCTGATTATTTCAGTATCATGGATGTGGATGCTCTAAGTAAAGTATTCATAGCATTAATTCCAAGGGGTAATATTGTCAAAAAATATGAATAGAGTTTGCACGTGTAGTGCAATTTTTGATAGTCATCCTAAAAATCAGGAACACCATAAATATCCTAGCTAACATCATTTTTTATATAATACTCCGGTATTATATTAAACCACCGTTCCTAAAAGCTTTTCAGTTTTAAATTTGTTTATTATTATTCGAGAATAATATTCCTTATCCCAGATCAAATAACTCTCCCTCAATGAATTATTTTTGTTACTTTGCACAGTAGTATTGATCAAATGCACTTTTAATTCAAATCTCATGCACCATTAATTTCATTATTCAATCAAGCATGTTGGGTTTTTTACAAGAATATTATTAAAATAAAACTTATTTACATAAATATGACTATTCATTAATACAATGTAGTGTCTAATATGTCGTATCTAATATTTTAGATCATTCTTTTTTATGTATACATTCGTGAGTGCACTGTAAATATTTGTATTTGTACATTTCAATAATCTGTTATTCTCGTGCAATTTTATGTATACACTTCATATACTTGAAATGTGCAAATATAATTCACTTAAATTATGGATGATGAGTAAAGTGCAATGGACGACACCAGGATATAATTAAAAAATATGCACAACATACACTATCTTTTTTAATAATGCACTTCAATATATATAACTAAATGCACATTTTGCAAAAAAAATAAAAATTCAAATATAAATGTGAAGGTATTAATAAGAAGAATCGCATAATATGCATCTCTCGTCCATAGATAGTGCGGTTATTTGTGTGTTAGTTAGCATTGTCATGTATCCAAAATAATACTCTGTATTACATTGGAAAGAAGGAAAGTGCAATGTGTAAAACAATTTAGTGCATTATCTTATACCACGTACAACACATAGCGGCTAAAAGAATTGATACGGAATGTTTACTAGGATGTTTTCTTTTGGATTGTTTTCAGTCCCACACCAACTATACAAGATCAGACTAGATCATCCCAAACCAGACTTCCGTAGTTACAAAATATACAGACACCAGACATTTAACAGACCAAATCAGACCAGACTAACAAATTTCAGTCTAAAAGAAAACATCTTATGAATAAATCATACGTAGTACTTTTTATCTCGAATATATATTTCACCAATAAATATTCATAAACTGGAAACAATTTAATAACAATCATAAAATATTTCAATGAAATAACAAAATAGAGAAACAAACATAGCTCTCTGTAAATTAAAATTATTGCAAGGCAATGGATTTCTCCATGTAAACTCACGGTAGTGGAATCACTACGGACAAACACAATGCTAAAAATGGATTCATGAACATATGAAACTGAAAAGGAAACAAACCATTATTAAGCACTTCGGAATATAAGGAAGCAATTGCACGAATATTAAATCAACTAACCAATAGAATAAAATAAATGAAAGGGGCTCACATAATCAAAATGGTTAAAGAGTAGTATGTTGTGATCTAACGACTGAAATCTATTCATATTTCTCTCCTAAGATGTTTTTCTCACTTGATCCTAAATCTATATATATATATATATATATATATATATATATATACACACACACACACACACATACATATACTTAATATATATATACTTAATATACTAATTAATATACTTCGAATTAATTAGATATAATTCCAACTATATTGGTAGATATATATATATATACATATATATATATATATATACACACACACACACATACATATACTTAATATATATATACTTAATATACTAATTAATATACTTCGAATTAATTAGATATAATTCCAACTATATTAGTAGATATAATAAATGTATAAGTAATATATAATATAATGTTTATAGTATATACTCCGTAATATATACGTATACTACTATAAGATGAGTAATACACTTATATTTAATAATTTAATATATAAAGTGTATATTAATTAGATATAAATTGTAGTATAGGTAATATAAGTAGATAATAAGTAGAGATTAAGTAGATAAGGAATACAAGGAAGAAAAAAGATCATGTCCATCCGGATGGACAAGAGCTTCCGTCCGGCTGAGGCCATCAGAGGCCCTTTCTGGTGGAATTTTTTGATGAATTTTTTTGAGCATGTTCTTCATGAAGTCTAGTTTACCCATACCAAATTTCAGCTAAAAATTCAACCGGGAAGGCACTCAAATGATTTTTGGAAGATGATTGTGTTTTATATGTATATAAAAGTCGGTATGGATAAACTAGACTTCAAACTATGGGTGGACTCGGGCCGGTTCGGGCCTGAGCCCGGCTGGGCCTCAGTTAATGAAAGGGGAGGCCCGGAACCGGCCCGAGTAACCCCCAGGTCCGGGTCGGGCCGGGCCTCGGTTCTATTTAATTTTTTTTTTGGCTTTTCCTAATTAACCCCCAACCCTCCCCACTCACCCCCAAACCACCCCAAACCACCTCAAATGGCCCAAAATACCCAGCCCAACCCAAAAACATAAAAAAATTCAAAAAAAAAAGAAAAATAAAAATAAATTGGCCCGGGCCGGGCCCGAACCGGCCGGTTCACCTTTTGAGGGGCCCGAGCCCGGCCCGTAACCCCAACAGGTCGGGCCTACCCGGACCGGTCCCTGGCCGGGCCGACAGTTCGGGCCGGTTCAAACACCGACCGGGTCGGGCCAGTTCTGGGGCGGGCCGCCCGGCCCGAGTCCACCCCTGCCCCAAACAATAAAGTTCGGACAGAGCCTCCCTAGTCCCTTCCCTCCGGATGGACCTGAGCATTCCTCATATAAGTAATATAATATATGCATTTAAAAGTAGATAATTAATATATAAGTAGATAAGAAATATAACTAATATAATATATGTATTTGTAAGTAGATAATTAATATAAAGTTGATATAATATTTGTATAAGTATTAAATAGTAAAAATGTAAAATATATTGGAGAATAAGAAAATTTGAGAAGATGAACAAGATGACTAGAGAATAGAAAGGATTTAGGAAGAATTGAAGAATATGTTGAAAAATCTTTAATATTAGGAATATTTATAAGTATTTTTTTTACCCCACCCGGACCTAGGGGTGGACCGGTTCCGGTTCGGGCCCGGTTCGGGCCTGGGCCCGGCCGGGCCTGGGCCCGGCCGGGCCTCGGTTCTAGGGATGGACTCGGGCCGGGCCAACCGGCCCGGAACCGGACCGGCCCGCTACTGTGCGGGCCCGGACCGGCCCGGTCAACCGGTTCGGTTCCGGTTCGGGCCTCCAGGCCCGGTGGTATACCGGTCCGGGCCCGGGCCTCCAGTTTAGTGAACCGGCCCGGCCGGGCCGGGCCCGGTTCGGGCCGGAATTTAATTTTTTTTTTTTTTTTGAAATTTTTTTAAGTTTTGGGTTGGATTAGGTATTTTGGGCCATTTGAGGTGGTTTGGGGTGGTTTGGGGTGGAGGGGGAGGGGTAGGGGGTTAAATAAGAGAAGAAGAAGAAAAAAAAAAAACATTCCGGGTGGCCCGGCCCGGCCCGGCCCGGCCCGGTTCTGGCCCGGAACCGGAACCGGAACCGCCCACCACCGGTTCGGGCCCGGGCCTCCTTTTTCTGAACCGAGGCCCGGCCGGGCCCAGGCCCGAACCGGGCCCGAACCGGAACCGGTCCACCCCTACTCGGTTCAGAAAAAGGAGGCCCGAGCCCGAACCGGTGGTGGGCAGTTCCGGTTCCGGTTCCGGGCCAGAACCGGGCCGGGCCGGGCCACCCGGAATGTTTTTTTTTTTCTTCTTCTTCTTCTTCTCTTATTTAACCCCCTACCCCTCCCCCTCCACCCCAAACCACCCCAAACCACCTCAAATGGCCCAAAATACCTATTCCAACCCAAAACTTAAAAAAATTTCAAAAAAAAAAATAAATAAATTCCGGCCCGAACCGGGCCCGGCCCGGCCGGGCCGGTTCACTAAACTGGAGGCCCGGGCCCGGACCGGTATACCACCGGGCCGGGAGGCCCGAACCGGAACCGAACCGGTTCACCGGGCCGGTCCGGGCCCGCACAGTAGCGGGCCGGTCCGGTTCCGGGCCGGTTGGCCCGGCCCGAGTCCATCCCTACCCGGACCCGGACCACCAGACCGGACCGCTTCTGGGCCCGCTTAGTTGCGGGCCAGGCTGGGCCGGATCACGAGCCGGGTGGCCCGAACCAATCCAGCACTAGCTAAAAGGTTGGATTATTAGTTTCCATTTTCTCATAGTTTTTTCATATTTCATAGAGTGAACAACATTATTCATAAACGCATCTCAAAGCTCGTTTAATATACTAAAATACAATGAAGCATAAAAAATGATATAATCATTATTTCTACTCATTTCTGTAAAATATACGACTACTGTTTTAAATTAAAAAAAAACACTTTGAATATTACATGGACAGACTGAAAATAAATAATTCCATCAGAGGAACACAGTGCACAAACTATGTTCTGTCAAAATCGTAAATAAGTTTAAAAAAATTATACAAGCCAAGAAACAACTGAAAATGTTTCTTGTGTGATTTGCATCTTAACTGGCTCAGTCAGATCAATGCATTAGGCACACAAAAAAAAGCTGCTATAGAAGCGCCACTGTGAGAAACAGCTCCCAGCATATCTGAGAACTACATCTTCATGCCGGGAAAGAGCTGAGAGAGCCTATCAAAAACATGCATAATCTGGGAGGGGGAGAAAGCTTTGAGATATTTGTCATTTGTATCATAGTTAGAACAAAATCTGGTGCTAAAATATATTAAATTAGAAACACAATAATGCGCTAAAAGTTGGTAACCCGAGCAAAGTGTTTAGCGATATTTCTACAACCCTTCGTCAGGACAATATAAAAGGGGAAAAAGTCTTGTCTGCTTTCACATTACAGATTTATTCTTTTGAGTTATTTTAGTCTCATACCAGACTTTCTATCATTCGCAATGGAGCCAAAGATTCACAATTTTTTGTCTTTTTTTGGAATATGATGGAATAAAGCAAAATGACTAGTGTCTCCGCTTCTTTCTTATGAAGCGGTAGTCCGTCTGTGCAATTTTCGATGCAGTTTTTACCATGGGTCATCCGGAAACAATCTCTGTGTGCTTTAGTGTGCTTTAGTGCAGAGCACTGGGGTAATGATGATGATGACGACCAGACTTAAACATGCTAGACATAAACGTGTGTTTCAAGAGCCGGCCCACACTACAGCACACTAACCCGGACCATGAAGTTGATGGTAATTCTTTCTTATTATGTTTGAAACCTGACTCTTTTCTTTTGGAGAAAGGAAGTGCATTATTGTTGCAAAAAAAAAATACTGTCATAGTGTTAGATGGTCTCACAATCCCCTAATATAGGCAAGGTGGGCCGAAATTCTTTTTTGTGGATTCTCCTATCTAAACGTGCTTATAGGACTGCCGACTGCGACTGCCACTATTCCCTAATTAAAAAAATAACTTCACTTTGATTCCCTGACCCAACATTCCCAAGTATTTATATCACAGTAACAGATCCAAGTATTAGTAATAGACTAGGGAATGATACAATGACCTGTTAATATGAGAATTAAAGCATACCTCTTGGTCACCCAGATATTTGTCTATATTATAAGGATTCTGAGAAAGCTGCAAAACAAACATTAACACCTTCAATCTAAAATCCATACCTAACAATTGCATTAAGTTATACGGGTATGTTTGGAGCTTGGAAAATGCTAGCGAAATAAACAAGGACATAAATATAGGAAGGAAATTTAGAGGAAAATCAAATTAAGGGGAAATCCAAAAAAATCTTTCGAAATAAAAAAAAGTAAGCATTTGTTCAAACTCATTTGATTTGTGTATGTAAAGGCAAAAAATCTTAATATATGTAAAACTTTAAGTTTTTTTAATTGAGTGCGATTTGTATTGGCTTTTCCAAGATGGAGCCAACAACATCCAAGCCTTACTCAAAAGTTTTTGGGGTCGGCTAACACGAATAATATATTATATCAGAGTCAAAAGGAAAAGAAAGATAACAAGGAGTATACAGAAAAGATATATAAAAAAAGATAAGATAAAATAGAGATAAGATATTTTTTTAAATAGAGATAAGATATACAAATGTAATATTCTGTATCCTTTCTTTCTGTTTTGCTACCATTTCTGGATTTTTCAGGTTCAAACCATAGCCTAAGTGAAGGTGAACAAGAGACTTGATAAATAATTCATACATCCATAATTGCAGCTTGGATTTTGGGTTTTTGGAATGCCATAGCAATATCTGGATTGGCCATAATCTTAGAAATGGCATCCTCTGGTGTAGTTCCTATTTGATCTGAAATGTACGAATAATGTAAGAAACATTAAAAATTGTATAACTCCTAAAAATTGTATAGCACCTTGGTGCACACCTGAAAGCACACTAAAATAAAATAAAAAAATTATAATTATTGTTTAAAAAGTAAAAGAAAATAAACTATCTGAATTTGTAACGCTCCCTAGTGTTCATTTTTGTAATTTGGTCATTTGTGCCTTATAATAATGCCAAAGGAAGTTTTTATTCCAAATACGAAAATTACTATCAAGCCGATCGAGGATCAGCTATTTAGTTGATTGACTAGTAAACTACAAGATCATTAAACATATAATAGGAATAAACAAAATTAATGCTTTAACATAAATACATTGAAACTTACCAAATTGCTGCTTGACATCTGGATTATTAAGATCAAAATTTTTCAGAGTATTAATTGTGCGGCTATCCCATCCCTGGTGTCCACCCATGTTAGCCCTGATTGACAAATTCAAAGTTTAGAGAAAATAAAATGTAATATAGCCATGCATGACACTTAGGTATGTTTGCATTTCTGATGAGTGAATGGTGATAAGCCTATTTTGTGGGCCAAAAATGAACACAAAAAACATAACCATAAAAAATCTGGTTAGAATGTTGAATGTTGAAACTTTTGATTGATATGTAATAGTAAAAATAATGAATAGTGTGCTTTTGTACTCTTAACGAAGAGCATTTTTATGACCTTCACATTATAAATCATTTTGCAAAAGAAAATATTATAAGTCAAAGTTGAGATCAGTGATCAAAAGATTCAAATGTGGCAAAATGAACTGTGAAATGCAATGAGCCTTAAACTACTGAAATGTGTACAAGTTATCAAATGTAAAAAATGAAGACATACAGCATGTCTTCTAATTGTTGACGGTACTGTGGATTCTGTAGTATCCCTGTTAAAGCAAAATTGGTTATTAACCAGAGATGCTTATCATCGAGAATATCAATGAAAGAAATGGAAGTGTCCATTGATTTTTGTCCTCAAAACATTTTATAATGCCTTAAAAGAAGATATCAAATTCATGTTTAGGAGCTTCTATGGGAAAAAACCGAACTTCAACTTACACTTCATGGTTTCCGGGTTTCTCATCTCATCTGGAAGGGATCTGCAAAGCATAATAATCTTAAAATAAAATAATTTTGAAAATAATTCCTGAACCAAATAACACATTATTCTCTTCGGCAACCTATATGTCTTTCATGACTCATAACATATTTCTAATAGGCTGAAGGCTCAAATAGGCCCCGGTACCCGTCTAAAATGCTTAAATTTCCCTTGAACTAAAAAAACTCCAATTAATACCCCAAACTTGATAATAGTTTCAAATTTCAATTTTTAGCGGTAATGTTATAGTTGCCACCATGTCACTTAGTAATGTGACAATTATGCATACGGCGTGCCTATTTAAGGGGTCAAATAAGCCCCTCAACCTGACCGACTTGTATTTCACCCTTAACCGTTAAAAAGCGTTAAAATTGTGAATGAATCAAAATAAAAATAGAAAAATAGAAATAGAAATATAAATAAAAAACAAGTAAAAAATAAAAAATATAGACATTAATATAATAATAATAATGATAATAAATAAATAAAAACAGATAAATAGAAAACATGTGCATTTTGCGGCAAATTCAAAATACAAAAATATAAAATGTAAACTATAAGAAATTCTTTTAACTTTATTTCCATATTTTATATTGTACATAAAAAATTATACAATTCTTTTTCTACTAATTATATTTGTATTTCTATTTTATTTTTTTATTTGATATTTTGTATTATAAAACATATTTTAGGTTTTGGTTTTATATTATATACTCCCTCCGTCCCATAAAATAGTTCCCGCATTGACTTGGATCGGAGTTTAAGAAAGTGGTTGTGTAAGAAAAACGTAAATGATTGTGAGCCATACAAAACTTTCCAAAAGGGGAAATGAGAATTATTTTTTGGGAAGGCCAAAAAAGGAATCCATGAACTATTTTGCGGGACGTACTTGTATTTCACCCTTTTCTGATCTGAATCCTTCTGATCTGAATCTTTCTGATCTGATCTGATTTGAATATTTCTAAAATTATAATTAGAATTATAATTACTATAATTATAAATGTAATTACACATATATAATTTAAATATAATTATAATTATAATTATAATTATAAATTTTTTAATTATAATTACAAACATAATTATAATAGGTATAATTATTATTATACGTATTACACTAGTTATAAATATAGCTATAATTATAATTGTAATTATATTTATAGTTATATTTATTTCTATAATAATAATTTTAATTATAATTATAATACTTATTTCTATAATTTTAATTGTAATTACTCCGTATAATATGATAATAACGAAAACAAAACTAATAACAATAACAACAACCATATTAGTAGTAAGAATAATAATAATCATGATAATAATAAATATCATAATAATAATAATAATCATCATAGTAATCATAGTAATAATAATAATAATAATAATAATAATAATAATTACAATAACAACAACAAGAATAATAATAATTATAATTATTATAATTATTATAATTATTATAAATATTATTATAATTATTATTATAATAAAAAGGATAAATCATGTCTGAACTTTTCTGATCTGATCTGAATGTTCCTGATCTGATCTGAATGTTCCTGATCTGATCTAAATGTTCCTGATCTGATCTGAATCTTTCTGATCTGATCTGAATGATTCTGATCTGATCTGAATCTTTCTGATCTGATCTGATCTGAATTTTTCTGATCTGATCTGAATAAAATAAGAATAAGCAATAAGTAATAAGATTAAGACGAACAGAACAGTTTCTTAGCTTTCGTGTGTTCTTATGTTGTTTTTACCATATATTTATCATTATCTTATATTCTTATCCATTTTAACTTACTTTATCTTTTTATTATTCTTATCCATTTTATCTTAGGATGCTTTTACTTGGGTCTGCATTAATATATGGCGTCGAGTGTTGGGCGGTGAAGCAATGCCACATTCCAAAGATGAGTGTGGCAAAGATGTGTATGTTGCATTGCATGTGTGGACATACCAAAAAAGACCATTTAGGAATGAGATAATCAGATAAAAGGTAGGAGTAACACCGATAGAAAATAGGAAGTAGGAGTCTCGTTTGAGGTGGTTTGGGCATGTGCGTAGAAGACCGAGTGATGCACTTGTTACATGATTTGAGGAGTGGGGAGAAGAGCAAAGAAGAGAGGGAGGGGAAAACCCAAACGGACTTGGATTAAAGGAATCAGAACTGATATGAGTCATCTTGGATTGGATGAGAGTATGGCTTTGGAGAGAGCAAAGTGGAAGACGCACATCCGTGTGGACGATTGATGTCTTTTCTACTTTTCTCTTTCTTTTCTTTTATCATTTATATTCTTTATCTTTTTATATTCTTATGTTATTTTTATCTTCTAGCTTTTTATGTTCTTTTATCTTTCTATCTTTTATCTTTCTTTTATCCGTTTTATCTTACTCCCCCCCATTGTCCGTCTGTCTGTTTGGCATCGATATCATAGATCGATTCATGTTAGCCGACCCCAAAATCTTTGGGTTTAAGGCTTGGATGTTGTTGTTGTGATGTTTTTACTTGGACTGGTCTAAAGTCTAAACTAGTCTGGTATTGTTTGGTCTCTGTGTACTTTTACAACTATCCAAGTCTGGTCTGGGACTGAAAATGGTCCAAGTAAAAACATCCTTACTTTATCTTTATCTTATCCATTTTATCTTACTTTATCTTTTTATTTTTCTCATCTTTCTTCGCTTTTGGCTCTGATATCATCGATCAATTCATGTTGGCCGATCCCAAATTCTTTTCGGAATAAAGCTTGGATGTAAGAGACACACACAAACATATACTCCCTCCGTCTCATTGGACTTTGCCAACTTTCCCTTTTTGGTTGTCCCAAAAAACTTTGTCACTTTCCTATTAAAGCAACTAATTTGTGGTTCTGCACATTTCCTCTCCTCTACACAAATCTCAACCACACAATTTTTACTATTCTTATTTCTCACCAACTTTATACTTGGCAAAGTCCACCGGGACAGAGGGAGTATATAGTTCACAATATTTGATTTTTTGCTCTATACATCATACTAAGTATACACACCATAAAAAATGATACGAAGTAAAATATAAAAGCAGTAATTACATCTTTGTATTATTTCTTTAAATATACATACATATATATATATGTGATATATATATATATATATATATGTGTGTGATTTATATATATATATCTGTGTGTGTGAGAGAGAGAGAGATATACACACAATCACATATATATATGTGATATATATATATATATATATATATATATATATATATATATATACATATGTGTGTGCGCGCGCGCATACATATCACATTACTATATATATAAACATAAATATAAAATATGGAAATAAAGTATAAGATGTTATTTTAGTTTATATTTTATATTTGTATTTTGAATTTACCGCATAATATAAACATTTACAATTTATTTTAAGTTAAAAATGACTATACTTTATATTTCGACTTGTATTTTATTTGATATTATATTTTATATTTTTTGATGATATTTTCACAATTTTAACGGTTGAAGGGGTGAACTGAACAACTCGTTCAGGTTTAGGAGCTTATTTGATCCTTTAAGTTGTCACTTCAAATGCACAGAGTCAATTTACTGGTTGATGTGGCAGTGATCAGAACATTACCTACAAAACCTGAATTTTGAATTCTTTTAATCAAGTTCAGAGTGTGAATTGGAACTTTCTTTGTTCAGAGCCAAATTGGGCATTCAAGACGGATACGTGGCCTTTTTTACCCTTAAGCCTTGCTAATATTTGGGTGGTTCTATCTCATTCTCAATTTATGAATTCAATACCAACCGCATACCTTCATCCTACTTAATAATGACACCAATTCCTCATGCCCAATCTTAGTGGGACGAGGGAGTATATATTAAATTACTATGAAGAATGGAAAATAAATGATGTCTTACGGATAAATCATCTTCTGCAAATCGGGATTTTCCATCATTTTCTCCAAGGCTTCCACTGTCAAAAAGGGACTTGGCTTTCCTGTCAAATATATGAATATAGACATATAGTTATATACTTGAATATATAACTCTTATTCGCTCAAGGCAAAATAGACAATGCATATCAGTAAATATATTTCTATCACATGTAATAGAATAGGAATAATGAACGCTTATTACTTACCAGGTGATGAAGAACTTTGAAACGTGCCAGATTTAGAAGATGAAGCATTTCCATTCACAGATTCCTTACAAGAGACACTCAAATGCTTTAATCATGAAAACATTACCAATTTACAACAAAGCTTCATGTATTTTAAATGAAAATTCAAATAACTCACTCGGTTAGGATTTGATGGGTTTGTCACCGAAATGTCCATGTAATTTTCAAAATCACTCTTCTTTAATGTCTCTTCAGGTGACACATCCATAAAAGCTGCCAAAGAAAGTAAAACAATTGGTGTGTATGTTTGGATTGTTAGCTTTAAAAATAAATATTCATTTTCCCATTTAATAAACAGTTCAGTAAAAAGTGAGGTGATGCCAAAGAGATTTGTGTTTGAATATAATTTCATAAAATTCGAAACTTCAAATTAGTAAAGTGAAAGTTGTTTGGATGGAATAACACGGCAAAAATTGAAATTTGATCAAAAGTCTATTTGAAAAGTTTAAAGAAACTCAAAACTAGTGTTTGCCAAAGATGCTTTTTGTAGCATCCAGAATGTGCTATATAACTTTTTACTACGTATTAAAACAACAAATAGCTTTTGAAAGTGTAACACTTTGAAAATTGCAAAGGCACTTTTGGCTTTCTGAACCTGATGTCTGGTAAATGAAAATCAAACATAGAAATTAAAACCATCTAATGCATATTATCATCCCTGAAAGGGTGGGCAATGAATACATAAAACTGAAACCAGGTCTATAGTAGTAATTCTACTTCCCAGTGAAGGAAAAAATTTAATAGCTAAAGTATAAAGACATTAAGGGTATACGGAGTATTTTTTTTTGCCCAGTAAATGCTAGGGGGAGGTCAAATTAAGAAGCTAAGAAAAATAAGTTTTTCCTTGTTTAATTTTACATCGGCACATTTAAAAGAAAAAATGAAATGTGATTAACATTGTTTACATATTATGTTCAAACTCCTTAGTTCGTTTAGAATAACTTGTTTAAAGGAATACATGCTTTACAGACGAATATAACAAGTACTTTTACTTCAAAAAGAAGTGCTTGACAGGAAAGTGGGAAAATGCTTTAAAGTTTTAACATAACTAGGAAATATGCTCCTAACATTAACACCATAAGACATAAGTTAACCCAAAAATGCTCTTAGCCTTTTATATTTAAGAAATAAATGAATAAAATGAGTTTGAACACACACATAATAAACTCTCTGAGTTTAAACCGACATTTTATTTTTGCAAAAAAACGCATCCAAATTTCTCTTCTAGTTTCCTACTGATCAACTTTCGCTGCAATTTCCAATTTCCAAGAGGCCAATTATAAATTCTATAAGGGGATGAAAGAATACCGATTTTTTGGGGCCCATCCTCAGCATCTCTGGTTTCATCATTGACATCAGGAGTAGGAGGATCCTCCAAGTCTGTTGCAGATAAACCCACAATCTCAGTGGGCTGAGAAACAGATGAAGGTGATGAAGTGGCATGACCAGATGAAAAGGATGATGATGTAAACGATCCAGCTGGAATTGAAGCTGGCAGCTAGGGGGTGTGAATAGGCCAGGCGGCCTGTCAAGGGCCTGCGCGGCCTGGCCTATTAAATAAACAAACTAGTTTTGGGGCCTTTGGGCTTTTAGAAACATTTGTTTATCCAAGTAAGTCAGGCTTAGCCCAACTTTGAAGCCTTCTTAGCTTAATAGGCGTATATATTAGGCACAAAAGTGCTTTTTATGGAGTGTGTTTTTATAAATTGGAGTACTATTTCAGATATATACAATGTGTTAGTCCCTCCGTCCCACTAAGAGCCTAAGATTGTCCCTGTCTTCCCATTTGATCCATCCCACTAAAACTGTCCCATACTTCATTTTCACTTTATCAATTCAATATCAACCACATAAACTCACATTTCTTGGTAACAACACCAGTTCCTCTTGTACAAATGTTAGGAGTGGAGGTAGTATTAGGTTATTGAGGTCATTGAAATGTAATGTTTTTACAAGATTTGAAGTACAAAAAAATTATCAGCTACATAACTAACATATTTTTACGTTTTTTTAGTGACTAATTTGGGGGATAAACTTTATATCGTGTTAAAAGGATTTGTCACTTTTTATTTTTAAAATTTTTTGACTTCCTTGTTTTTTCTTAAGAGACTAAGTAAACAGGCCTAGGCCATGTCAGGCTTAGGCCAAAAAACAAGCCTTTAATGCGTAATGGGCCAGGCACAGACCAAAACATGCTAAAACAAGCCCAATCTGTTTAGGCAAAAGCCTGGTCTGGCCTCTTTCCACCTCTATTGGCGGGGTTAGGGCGCAAAAGAGAAAGGTATAATTTTCCAAGCGTTTTATATTTAAGAAATAAATGAATAAAATGAGTTTGAACACACACAAAATAAACTCACTGAATTTGAACCGATGTTTTATTTTCCCATTCCAATTTCCCTTCTACTTTCCTATTGTTTATTGATTAACTCTCACTGCATTTTCTGAGTTCCAAACGGACCCATAAATATTCTATAAGGGGATGAAAGAATACCTATTTTGATTTTTTGGGGGCCATCCTCAGCATCTCTAGTTTCATCGATGACATCAGGAGTTGGAGGATCCTCCAAGTCTGTTGCAACTACACCCACAGTCTCAGTGAACTGAGAAACAGAAGAAGGTGATGATGTGGCATGACCAGATACAAAGGGTGATGAAGTAAACGATCCAGCTGGACCTGAAGTTGGCAGCGGTAAGGGCGGAAAGGGGAAAGATGATCCGGGTGGAATGACCGGAAAAGGAACAGTACTGAATGGATTGTTTTGTGCATTCATCTGTCCTGTCATTGTCTTGAAAGCTTGTTGCATTGCATAATTCTACATGAACACACAAACACAAGGAAATGGTTCCATGAAGTGTTAACATGGCTTGTAGAAAAAACAACTCGTTTGGTTGGGGGATTGGGGAGTGTTTGAAAGAAAAGTGATTTTTATTCTATTAACCTATTCTTCAATTTAGAGCTTGTTTGGTTGTAGGACTGCGGAAAATTTTAGATTATTGAATAAATCACATATATATGTATGATCGATTATATCCATAATAAGTTTTTGTTTGAAAGTTTCTTAAAAAGTGGTATGGAAATTATTAATTTTGTTTGCTGCATTAACGAATCTGCTTTAACAAGATAAAAGAGTATGAATGATAGCTAAAAGAACACCCAACCATGCTCTTAAATGGTTTGAAATAAAGTAAAGATGAAAAATTATATGGATATACTAATTACATAGACATTGTCCAAAACTTACAAATAGAAGATCATTTCATTTTCATTTACCCCAATGCCGCAAAGGCTCCCACCTACGGTGTGGTAAGGGGGATGGGGTCGATGTAGGCAATCTTACCCCTGTACTAAAGCAGGGAACTTACCAATAGAAGATAAATTAGAAAAACAAAAAACAATCTCCCTTTCCCTCAATAATCCCCAACCAAACAACAAGCCCTTACTCTTCATTTACGTCCATGCCAATTATTAACAAGTCCAGAGAGACAAAAGACCTAATAAGTCAAATATTGTGATTTGAAAAAAAAATCTAAATCTGGTGTCATTTCTGTATGTATGTCTATGGGGGTAATTCCATGCTTTTCTCTAAAAACTCCTTAGCCAGAGTAACCCGAAGATTGACTCTCTTCTAGGCCGGCCTGAGTAGTGCCTTGCAAATTTTAGAAAAGTGGTTGTAGGGTTGGTTGGGTTGAAGGTATAAAGGGTAGGGTAGTGCTTCCATACACCTTGAAATGTGCTATTCATTAAAGAGGAATGAAGTAAGAAAGAGTGTAAATTGTAAAATGTAAAATAAAATAGGAAAGGAAGCAACAAAGTTTTGGAGAATGGCCTTGCCTTCAAGCTGTTAGCTGCCTGTTATAAATTCAAAAACAAGAGTATAAAGTTAGTATGAAGAAACAATGATTTTCAAAAATGGTGTCCAGTAAACAACGGAATGAGTTTCGTTTCATACCCATGAGAATAGTGCTGAGAGAGCCACACCAACTCCCATCCAAAACAAAGGCGACCCTCTATAAGAATAGATAAATAATAATAAGAGCATATAATTGAAAATCTAACAAACAAAGAATAGAACTACATTATTTGATTTTTTTAATCATAACTACATTATTTGATTTTAAAAATTTCTAAAATAATACTTATGAAGAAATTCTAAAATCGGATCAATAACCAAATATCAAATTATCAGTGAGACCTGTAATAGTAATAAAGCTCCCAAAATGATACTCCTAATTCACATTTAAAAAGTGATATGGATATTAGATGTTTAGTTTTATTTACATTGTATTTGATGGAGGAGGTGATGCTGGAAACTGTGGGGCCACGCCAACTGAGGATGTTTGCTGGCTACTTGAACTAATGCTTGCCAAACAATCTTTTCCATGTTTTTTGATCACTACAGAAAAATAGAATGAGGAAAAATCACAAAAAAATACTTACAAGTAAAGAACCATGTAACATACCATAATCAAGGAATACAATATTCATTAGCAATTTAATGAGCAAGAGCACGTGACGTTTTATGGTATCAAGAAACCAAAAAAATAAACGAAAAAACAGTGCTTTTTTAGGATACAACAAAGTTTGCTAATAGCTAATTGAACTTCAGAAACACTACCAAACAACTTTCTGATGCCAAATTTTATAAGTTTTAACAAAAGAACCCAATTTGAAAACATATATAATTATAAAGCACCAAAATTGAGCTTGTTACTATTGATTGAGATGGAGGATTTTGAAAGGTAAAAGGAATATAATAAGACTTACAAGTAGTTTTGGTATTTTTTGGTGTCTGGAAGTAAGCAAAGGTAGAAAAGCAAGGTCTAGGTCTCGTAACTCCGATAATATACGTAGATTTTCTGGGCAGCACGGGAAGACCATAGATGGGTTTAGTGTGGTTTGGAGAGAGACCCATCACCAATTGCGGGCAACAACAAGAAGATGAAGCAGCCATAGCTAATGGGGTTACCATTACTTGCGAAAGAAGGAGATATCCAAAAAGCAAAGTTATAACCTTTCACCTTTTGATGTGGGAGAAGAGGTAGGGTCGAAGAAGAGAAAAAACAGAGCAGGGGCAACCCCTAGGAATTGCAGAGGTTTTTGAAATAGGGAGTATTGAAGAAGGGCTCAGAACTCCGAAGTGAGTCGGGTCACTAGTCACTACCCAGATTTTATGGGTTTAATGCACCAAACTCATGATTTGGAAATTCGGCGCATTAGACTCTTGTGATTTAAAAAATGCGTCAAATCCCCCTGTGTTTTAATTAATCATGCGCCAAATCCCTTATGTGAACAAATTCAATTGTCAAATAAAAGAAAAATGATTAACATTTTTGTATGATTCAGAGATTTTGACATATTTATTTGCATATTCAATCAAAATATTAGGAAATGTGATTTTCAAATCGTTAAATTTATTCATAAAGGGGGTTCTGTGCATGATTAATTAAAACACAAGGGGGTTTGACGCATTTTTTAAATCACAGGGGGCTAAGGCGCCGAATTTCCAAATCACAGGGGGGTTTGGTGCATTAAACCCCCCAGATTTTATATTTGGGAAAAGGCTCAAATACGCCCTTATACACAGGCTGTTTGGTGGCACGATCGGTTGATTGGGCTGATTAAGCTGAAATTTATGACGTTCTGTCTGAACTGGTTGCATTGGTTGATTCTTCTGATTTAAGAAAAAATTATTTTTAAAATATATTTTATTAATAAAATAAATAAAAAATTATATGTAAAAATAGCGAAAATGATCATCTACAGTAACTTCAGCCAATACAGTCAGAAAAGTAACTTCAACATTACTTTTTTAGCTTATTACACAATTCAGCGAGCGAAAGCAAAAATTACGTGTTTGGTTAAAAAGTTGGCTGATAAGCCGAAAAGCAATGTTGTCAAACGGCCTCATAGGAGGCGTTCTCCGTCCGTCGCCATTTGGGGTGGTTTCCGGTAGAATTTTTTGATGAAATTTGTTGAACATCTTATTCATTAAGTCTAGTTTACTCATACAAAATTTAAGCTAAGACTTTAATCGGGAAGGCATTCAAATGAATTCTTGAAGATAATTGTGCTTTTAATTGCGCAGTTATCTAAAAGAATACATTTGAATGCCTTTCTTATTGAAGTTTTAGCTGAAATTTGGTATGAGTAAACTAGACTTAATGAATAAGATGCTTAAAAATTTTCATCAAAAAATTCCACCGGGAACCATCCTAAATGGCGATGGCCGGACATAACCTCTTATATAAGGGCTTATCTAACCTTTTTATGTAACTTCGAGGGTCTATCTGACCCTTTTCCCTTTAGATTTTACTCCGTATTTGTTTCGGCATTTCAGGCCGTTAGCCTCTTTGGAAACCCTTAATTTCAGGCAGTGGATTGAATTGCGTAATACTCCCGCTGTCCCGATATAAAAGCCACATTTTCTTTTTTGGGTTGTCCCAAAATAAAAGGCACATTTCCCTTTTTGACAAACAAAACAGTGTCAAACATTGTTTCCTCCTAAAAAGGTGTGGAAAAGCAAATGTGCCTTTTATAATGGGACATAGGAAATAATAAGTAAAAATAATATTGGAGTTACTTTTTTTACTGTATTGACTAAAATTACTGTAGAGTATCACTTTAGCTATTTTGTCATATACTTTTTCTTTATGTTGTTAATAAAAAGTATTTTTTTGTAATAAATTAATAAAAAGTATTTCAAATCTAATTTTTCATAAATCAGCAGAATAAGCCAATGCAGCCACTTGAACAATAACTTCATAAATTTCAACAGAATCAGTTGATTCAACCAATTTCAGTGCTACCAAACGAGCTTTAAAAGGGGGAAAAGGTTCGAATAGAGCCTTCCAATGTTTTATTAGGAGTTGGTAAATCGGTCCAGTTTGACCAAATTGAACCCCGATAAATTGAAGCAAGTGAAATCGAATTGTATGCAATCCTATTTGAATTTGGTAATAATTGTTCCAAATCAAAGTAAACTTAATCGAACGAATACGTGAAAAAAGAATAAAACAATTAAAATGTTCAATAAGTTCTTAATAATATATTTAAAAATAGTTTCTGCCACAATTTTGGTACTCGATTTTGATTTGTTCCATTTTTTGTCCTCAACTATTGCGCTAGAGACATTTTAAATACATGTCTCTGAAAAAATTTCATATCTAGTGACCTTAGACTTTAATAAAAGTAACACATTTGATCCTTCAACTATTATAATGAGGATATTTTTAATCATCTATTTATTGTGTCAAAGTCATACTAAAAGGACTGAAAGTGTAAACTTGATAATACTCACTACTACTCAGAGGATTAAATGTGGGAAACTTTGTAGTTAAGAACTACAAGTGTCTCTAACAAATAGTCGAGGACTAAAAATTAAAAAATTAAAAGTCGAGTATCAAAAGTGTCTCTTACAAATCGGGGGACTGAAAATGAAAAAACTCTATTTTAAAAATACGTAGTAACAAATCCAATCTGAACTGAGTCGGACCAAATCAAACATAGAATGGTCTTGTTTGGTAATCAGTTGTTAACTGTTAGCCTATTAGGTGCTTCCATTAGCGGTTTGGGTTAATTATCAAAATAAGAATAAAAGTTGGTCAGTTTGCACAAATATGACCAAAAAATAAACTATGTTTTGATAGGACTAACTATGTGTATGTTGGACAAATATACCCTTGTAGCTATTGAAAATTTTTAATTACAAATAAAATAATAAGAAATAAGAATAAATTGAAAAAAATAATAAAAAATAATAAAAAATATTTAAATAGTAATAATTTTAAACAAATTAAAATTAAAGGAATGCAAAAAAAATGCCGCCTCTGCCGCCTCTGCCGCCTCTGCCGCCCAGCACCACCACCTCCAGTCACTGGCGGAAAAAATGCCACATCCATTACGAATGTCATATTTATGACAGATTCAATGAAAATTTTGGCATTCTCAAAAAGTAATTTGCCGTTATTTGGCATTTACAGAAGAAAAAAATGGTAATTTTTAGAAAAAATGGCATTTTTTACACTGGTCGGAAGTAATGGTGCAGGGAGGCAGTACAAGCGGTGGGAAAGGCATCTAATTTAAAAAATTAAAAAAATGCAAAAAAAATCACCTCCGCCTCTGCTGCCCCAACACCACCATATCCGGCCACCTGGGGGAAAAAATACCACATGCATTAGGAATGCCATATTTATGGCAGTTTCAATGAAAATTTTGGCATTCTCGAAGAGTAATATGTCATTTTTTTGCATTTTCAAAAAAACAAAATGACTTTTTTACACCGATCGGAGGTGGTGGTGCAGGGAGGCAGTACAGGTGATGGGAAAGTCATCCATATATTTTTTAATTCCTTTTATGGAGTTTTACTATTATTTTTTAAAAATATTTAAATAATAATAATTTCTTTTATAAATATTTTATTATTTTTAATGATTTTTCTACGATTTGTTTTTTGAATTTATTATGAATTAAACATTTAATTATGACTTTTAACTACCTTTTACTCATATTTAAAGGAGAGGTAAGAATGGAATGAAAAAATAGGTATGTTTCCAATAGGAGTAATATGGTCCTATTTTGGAATAAAAACATAACAAGTTCTATTTTGGATTTTTGCCATAGTTTTACTCCTATTTGGAGTAATTTCTGTAGCGCTTTTGGTCAGCGATTTGTATTAGATGTTTTGTCTTTTATTAATTGATCCTAATAGTTTAATAAAGTTGGTTGTTCAAAAAAGGTATTGATAAACTACATAAACAAAAGGAAATAAATTTAAATAATACTCCGTACTAATTATGGCACATAAATTTAAACCATGATTCCTGAGGGAAAACAAATCTAACCAATAATACATACGAAGTACTTTTGAAATGATTTAGGCGGTCACTCTGGAATGCTGCGAACTTTCTACCGCTTACACCGATTACTTTCATGGACATGAACGAGGGTTGATGTTAACAAATTTGTGCATAAGTGTGACACATGCCAACGCACTAAGATATACGTAGTATTCATTATCACCAGTCGACCTCTTGTCACCACTCTCTGTTCTGACCTCTATATGGACAAATATTAACATGGATTTCATTGAAGGGCCTCTCAAATCACCCGGGAAGAATATTATACTGGTCGTTGTGGATATATTCACAAAGTACGCACATGTTGCATCCCTTTCTCATCCTTTTATTTATAGGGACATAGCTTCAGTTTTTATTCAGGAGGTGACCCATTTGCATGGGTTCCCAGAGACCGGAGTCTGCCGTTAGTGATCGGGACCGTATCTTTATGAGTTTCTTGTGGAGACAATGTTTTCGTCTTCAGGGAACATCTCTGAAAACTATGGTACAGTGTTTTGTGCATAGCTATCATGCAAGATGGAGCTTATTTTTAGCGTGGGCTGAACTATGGCACAACACCTCCCCTATCATCGTTCAATCAACATGTCACCTTTTGAGACTCTATGGACGCAGGCGACCACAGTCGTGATCTTATAGTCGAGGAGAATCCCCTTTGACTGAAGTTGACCATCAACTTCAATCTCGTGGGGAACTTCTTTGGGTTCTACGAGAAAATCTGCTCCTAGCAACAAATGGGATGAAGCAGTAGGTTGATGCAGGTAGGGGAGAGATCCATTATGATGTAGGTGACCATGTGTACTTGAAGCTGCAACCGTTTAAACAACATTCAGTTTGCAAAAAGGTAAGTCAAAAGCTTGCGTGCAAATTTTATAGGCCTTTTAACATAGTTGAGAAACTTGGGGATGTCACTCATCGTCTTGAATTGCCCCCTCGTCACTTGTGCACCCAATTTTTCATGTATCTCTTCTAAAAGAACACATTGGACTGAGTATTACTTCCCAACCAACATTTCTGCCATTTGCTGCAAATGGTCAGCCGGATTTGAACCATAGAAGGTTATTGGCTATTGAAGTATCTGAACTAATAATTCTAGAGTAGGTCATGAAGCCTTAATTAAGTGGTCTAGCTTGGAACCCGAGGATGCGACATGGGAATCCGTGCAAATGATGAAGAAAAATTTTATGGGTTTTAACCTTGAGGACAGGGTTCAACTTCGAGAGGACGACATTGATAAAAATCGAGTAGATGTGCTCATCAGATAATTAAAGAAAATAGGCGCCGAAAGGCCAATT